CGCGGGCTAATTTTACACTCCTATCAATGTGAATGTTAACTTGTCAATGTGAATATTCATATTATCAACGGGCCGGGTCGGGCCTATTTTTTTGGCTTGTGGGCCGGCCCGGCCCAACTCGAATTTTTCCAGGCACCCACAAGGATCGATATGAGCCGGGCCCCTACACATTAACGATATAAACATTTATATTGACGGTGTGAACATTCACATTAAGGGTATTTTAGTAATTATGTCACCCATAGGACTTATTGAAACATAATAAAATAATGTGAATTAAATGGAACATAAGTAGATGAAAAGGGTATTTTGGTCTTCTTATCTCAAATTGGACCTAATGGAATAGTCAAAAAGAATATGGGTTGGATGGAATAAAGCTCTTAGAAAATGGATTTATTAAAAAAGCTCCCAACTTATATATTGTTTGAAATATAATGATAGTTTTTTTAATGAATAATATTGAAACTTTTTTTATTATAAAGTTTTGTTTGGTTTATTTATCAAACATATATACAAATGTATAACGAAAATACATATATACACATCTATAACGAAAATAAGAAGAAAACACTCCACTTCCTTTACTCTTCATGATATACACCATGATTTCATGTATAAATACATATACGTATATATCCCAAAAACCCTCATCATACTTTATTTAAGAAAATTTTCCAAAATTCTAGGTTTTCACAAAAATCCTACATTTTTCCATCTCTTTTATAAAACCCCAATATACACCTCAATCTCAACCCTTGTTGTCCAACATTTCAAGAAAAATTCTTAAAAGAATAAAAGATAGAATTTACTCTACAAGTCATCAATTTCATGAATCCCAAACCCATTTCTTTGAAATAACAAACAAGGAAGAGCCCACAAAATCAATTAGTTACTTACATAAACATATATATAACTCAAAGGAAACCCTACCTCAATGTTTGATGAAGAGGAGAAGATGAAACCCTAGATTCAAGATGGAAGACTCTTCAATTTCCACTACACCAAAAGGAGCCCTAGCTTTTGATCTCCCAACCTTAAGAGGGAGAGATGATGGTGATGATGAATCTAGATCCAAGGGATGGCAAAATCAAAGAGTTTTAGTGCTTGAGGAGGTTTTCTAGAGAGAAGGGGGGAGAAAAATAGGGTTTAGAGTGAGAGAGGAAAGCCCCAAAATGAGATACAACTCAGCCAAAAGAGTAAAAAAAAATAGAGATTCGGACTCAGGCCCATCCCGCACGTGCGGCATGTGCCCCCACACGTGCGGCTGCCTTCTTCCCGCACGTGCGGCACTGATCCGCGCACGTGCGGCTGCCCCCGCACTTTCCCTCCTCACTGCAATTTAAGCAGTGTGCTATGCCCCAACAACCCCTGAATTCCACACGTGCAGCCTCACTCCCCACATATGCGGCCCCTGGTTTTCCAGCCCATAAGTTTCCCCCTTCGATTCTAGGCACATTGGACCGGACCTCACATCCTCCAGGACAAAAGGAAATCAACACCAAAGAGGCAAGAACAAGAATTTGAGACAATTTCTGAGCATGACAACAATTCAAATGATTTAACAAGACTTCAATAGAGACTCGACACGCTAACGTGACAAATTCGAGATTAAATAAGGGAAAAAGGGCGGATGGCATGCAAGGTCGTCACATTTACACAAACACTTAGCACATTTTTTGAGCACAGTGTAATTTTTTTTTTCGTAAATCCACAGTGTAATTTTTTTTCTCGTTTTTTTCGCAAATGCAACCTGATATTTTTTAATAAGAGTTTATATTTGTTTTAGATATTTTTTTAATATACAAATTATTTTTTTTAGATTTTTTATAAAAATATTTTAATAATTCCATCACTAACCATAGTGTATGGGAGAAGTTGAAAATGGTGCGGTAGTAAGTATGGGAGAAATCAAAAAAGCTTGTTGGTTGGGAGAAGTCAATAAATGATAAGGGTTTTTTTTTTAATTCAAAAAAGTAGAAAATTAAGATTAGGATATTGGAGCTCCCACAAGGCTTGTGGATTAGAAACCCTTTTTTCCTTGTATAATATATAGATAGATAAGTGAAATAACTCAGTTTTTCCTTCTTTCCCCGATGTTGGATTGTGTAAAATAAAAGTTAACAATTGTTTGGGTAGAAAGTTTGTTTTGAATCAAGCAATCTCAGTCGTTTAATCTTTAATTAGGTCAATCTTTAATTTATTTCGAATCAAACAAATTTAACCA